TCACACACGCACAAATATTTCTATAAACACACATTTGGAATTCCTAATATGCGGCAACTAACGTTTAGATTATTTGCAACTTCCATTAGGAAGCAAAAGTGACTGTTTTTAGCTGAGGCTATTTACCTTCTGCCCTCTCCTGTTCCATAATTCTAAAACTCTTACGTAAATGTTTACCTTTACGGAGAATCTTTGTTTGATCAGAATATTCTACAAATTTGGGAACCTGTTCAACGATATATAGAGTCCCATCCTCAAGGCTTCTTTGCAATTTGATCTTTTTTGTATCCAGTATCATATACTGGTTATTATAGGTACCTAAAGAGCCATGAGAAAATAGTTAAATATTTATTGTGTGGTTTTTTTCCCCATAGAATCTTGGGTGAAAAAAATTCCCATTCAAATATACCAACCAGAATTCTGTTTTTCAAAGGTTTGGGCCCAGGTCTTTCCTGAATCTCCCATCATATTGGCAATACGAACTCTCTCCCATGCAAAGAGGCTCTCAGGTACCACTTGTCTAAGAAGAGAAAGGTTGAATACACTGTTTGTGGTCTGCAACATGATCAATCCACTGCCAAGTATGTAAAAGTCATCTAGGGAAACCAAAAAACCTGAAACAAGAATTTTCAGAAAGTTTATTATTCAAAAAGAGATCCTTCATAATTTTTATTCTAATGCTTGATTTCCAGAAAAGAAAGAAATTAAATGAATAAAAACAAAGGATCTATAGCAACAGCAGCACAGAATCAACTTATTATAACTAAGGGAAACAGAATTCAGCTAAATGATATAAGGTGTTCAACACTGAGATTCTGGAAGTGGTGAACTTTTCTACACTGGACATACTTGTGAAGAGACTAATGTCCATTTGTCATGCATCCTACAATTGCTTCTAGAAATGTGGATACTGCATTGGACAGGACTGGACAAGATGACTCCAAAAATGTTTTTCTTTCAGTGGCTCCAACACAACACAATCAGGTAAAGATCTTCTCAGTGGTGTTACTTATACGGTGGCACTCATTTGCTCAACATGGATGTCCTTTCAGCCCCAGGTATATTAAAATTCTATGATTCTGTGTTCATTTTAACAAAATACATGCAGAATTTTTCACAAGACCAGTGTAAAACTGTACTTTCTTAGTCTGAATAGCATCAGCAACCCCTTCCTTTTTTCAATTTTTGGTATCTTATTTTCAGTCTATGTCATGGTTTGAGGTGTGATTGGCATATAAGAGCTATGGGTGGGGAAGGAGGACTGGAGATAGATCTAACTATTCCTGTTTCTTTTGGAGATGCCTGCAGTCCTAGCTTGCAGGAAGGGGACACAATAGATAAAGATCTGCAATGCTGCAAATTCATCCCTGATTTCTACTGGCCTTGGGAAAAGCTCTCCTTGCTTCTCACCTCACAAAAGCCATCATAAGAAAAATGATTTCTTTTATGATTTAAGGTCATATGGTCAATGAAGGATGGTGCTTGTACTCTAAATATGAACAGCAAGAAATTTATTTGGTTTATGTCTCTAAGTTCAATATGTATGGAGGGCCCAAACTGGAAAAGGTTATAGCTCACAGACAAACTAAGAAACACGTATGGCATGTTTCATTCATCTAACTTACCTGGATAACTGCTAAAAGAGGCACGTCCTGTTCTTGTCTGTGGGTCAGTAATTCTGAAGTCCCAGTGTTTATATATTCTCAAAGTGGCAGCATATGTGAACCAGCTAGAATGAGCAAAATAGATATTCTCATATCCAGGGAGGACCTGAGAAAAAGACCAAATTAGTTATCTGGAATACTGCAAACAAATAGCAGGCAAATCACTTTTGTTCATCTTTTATGGAATTTAACATTTTAAAAAATCCTCTTATTAGTTTTTGGTCAGTAATGTAAATCAACCCATTAATAGAAGAACTGGCCTCACACAACGTTGAAGGTGTTGCAAGAGGTAAAGACCCCAAAAGTGTTCTTTTTTTTCCTGTTGCTATCCATCAGATAAGAATAAAAAAGGGGGGGGCACTGTATTCAGCAGACATATGGAGCTGGGAAGGCATGAAAACTTGAGGAATTTTCCAATTAGTTTTCTTAGCATGCCTTACACAGATAAAATCAGGACAAAGTCACCAGTGTATGCATGTCAAAATTGGAAAGATGGCAGGTGCAATGTTGCAATGCAAGTCCCACCCCTTTTGTACACATGTGGTACTTATCTAACCTCAGGTGAAGATCTATTCCAAAGGAAAAGAACAGCAATTGAAAAGGCCTGTCCTCATGGTCCCCAATGATCATACACTCTCAGAGATGGGACCTGACGGCTGCTTGCCCCAAAAGATGTTATTGTACAGGCAGAGACTGAAATGGTATGTAGGAATGGCTTTGGGAGACAGGGGGATACACAGCCAAGGGAACAGTCAGATAAGAGGCAGCTTAACCTGCAGCACGAACGTGGGCATGGCAAATGTCTCAGAAGGGACCCTCCCTAGTTTCGTGAGTTGTAAAGCCGACGGGGGAGAAATGTACTTTCAGACTTGCAAGATTCTGTTGATGTAGCCTTACAATAAAGTAGAATTAGTTCATCTGGGTGTGCTTCCTGTCTGAACTACCTTGCAAGGCTGACAGAGACCCCTGGGAGCAGGCAGTCCCAAAGATATCCAGGTCATGAGCCATATAGGGCTTTAAAGTGACAACCAGAACCTTGAATTAAACTTGGAAGCCAACAGGTAACTAGTGCAGCTCTTGCAGTGGTGGTACTATCTGGGGAAAATAAGAAGCACCCATAAGACTCGAGCCACTGCATTCTGGATCTGCTGTAGCTTCCAAGTGGTCTTCAAGAACAACCCCGTGTAAAGCATATTACAACTGTTCAGTCAAGAAGTTACTGTGAACTGGGTATCCTGATCTAGGAACGGTCTGAGGTGACACATAAGATGGAATTATGTAAAGGCCTTCCTAGCCACAGCTGCCAACTGCAAGCAGGAATTATGAGTTCAGGTGGACCCTCAATTTATGAACTTGTGCAGTCCAGATGAGTACAACCAGAACTATTGTTTATTTAAATTCTATGACCACCCATCTCATCTGGGCAGCTAACAACAATTTAAAAAATAGAACCTAAACAGCATAACAAACAATACATAATTGGTAGCCAGGGTAAAACTAGAAGCAAACATCAAAAACCAGCATCAACATAACCAGCTCACGGGCTTTACCATATATTCCAACCCCAGGAACTTAAAGGAATCATAGGATTGAAGGAACCTTAGAGATCATCTAGTCCAACCCCTTGCCCAGTGCAGGAATCTAGCTCCAAAACATGGTATTTATGTCTTTTAATTTCCTCAACATGTTCTACTATGCCTGCCACTTAATCCCAATCTGTTAAAAATGGATCCAAATTTTATGTGTTCTCATACTACTTAGCAAAATGTATGAAGCTTTGGTTTCCTTAATTTCACTTTGGATTCACATCCTGAGTCAAGCTGGAAGGCCTCTGATTAAGTAGAATCAGACTACTTTTAAGATGTTGAAAGGGATGAATCAATGTTTGTGCATTGGTGACTTCCTAGTTCATAACTCAGCTGACAGTAGCAGCGCTCCTGAAAGCCCAGTTAATGAGAACAATGGAGAATAAGCAGTTTGTGTTCACAATGCCTTACAGTTTGCAGACTGCTTGGATTGTGGTGTAGTCAGTCTCATCAGTCCTTTTAGTCCTAAAGCAAAAGTAAAAATGCTACTGCTCTCACCTTGATCAAAGCTGAGCAATGGCCCATATCCCATTGGTATCTCCTAGAGACTTCTGGCATAAAAAGAGAATCACTGTTTGTTGACTCTGAGAATAAGGGAGGAATCAGGTCAAGCAGATCTCCAACTGCATTTAGGAAACTAATTTCAAACTCAGTGAGAGGCTGAAATGAAAGAGATAACGGATACATAAGATTCAGGTTTATCTATATCAGTGTTACACATAACAGGCAGCAGTAACCCACGTCTGACCAGCTTTTCTTTAAGCTGGGAATCTGAAGACTTAAAAGTCCAACAGCAGTAATGTCTTATTTCAAACATTCATATTAAAATTAACAAATAATAGTTCATAAAGGAAGCTCATAAAGGAAATTGGATGTGAAATTACTGGTTTAGCAGGTATGGTTTATTCAGATAGAACCTTACTGATCAGCATCCCATTTAAAGAGAACCCAAATACTAGACAAAAGAGTATTTGTTCTTTGATGAGCTGTATAATGAGTGAGGAAGGGAATTTCCTTGGTTCAGCCCCTGCAGATGAAGCTTTAGAGTGAAGCAGAGTTCTTATCAGCAGATTCTGGTAACTCAAAGTTCTGCATATTCCCTGATAAAGGAGTTACCATCATACAAGAGCCAGAGAAGAGGAAGTGAGGGATGAAGAGTGCAATATAATATGAACTATTGTCAATATTCCTCCTTTTTGCTTCCTCTTTGTTTTCTGTTTCATTTCCATAAAACCCTAACAGAAAACGCAATAAATATTGCAAAATATAATAAAGCCATCTAAGAACAGATTCCCTAATCAAAATCACTGTGCTGCAATGAAATATTCAAAATGCGTATTATTTAAAACCCTTTCTTCATGTATAATGAAGAAGAAAAGTAAATTACTTTCCTTCTTAAAATTGGGAATACAGACAAAAGATGAAATTCTACAAATTTTGAAGGGACAAGTATTATATGAAAGTTAAATATACTGTATACTTTTTAATTGCCAAAGTATGAACCAGAGAGAATTTAATTTATTTAACAATATTAAAATTGGAGAACAAACAAAATAGCTGGTTATGTACATACGATTCTCCAAATATCCAAATATAATTATCCAAATAGCATGCAAATATCTTATTTCTGTTTTTTAAGAAATCCACCACCAGTTATACTCAAATCCTAAAATCCAAATTCAACAGCAAAGCAGTACATAACTATCAATATACAGTAAAGATTTTAAGCTTTAGCAGAGAAATTAGATATTGATGATTGTAAAATCTTACGATGTTAAAGAACATACATGCAGTTGCCCAAAAATGGAATTACCCAAAATATAGAGAAACAAACGTCTTTTATTTGTCTACACTCAGTTCCATTTTCATCATTTGTAAAGAGTATAATTTAATACTGTTCTCATGATTTTACTTAGCATGGTGGAAAAAATGGAACAAACTACTTATTTAAAAATTGTGTTACTTTATGTATAATATTGACAAATAAAGTACTAAAAAGAGTGCATTTCTACTGACTGGATCAATGCAAAATGTGTAGAATCATTGGGAAAAGACTGCCAACCTTATTTAGCACTGGACAATATTTCTGCCAGTGGCATCATTGGCAAACTGTTCATCTTTACATCAAATACATTAAAAATACAGCCAATTATTTGGGTTTACTTCTTGGACATAAAAGTAGAGGCCAATAGTTTTCAATGTTATTTTTACTTTATAAAAGATGTGTTTATTAATATGGTCAAGGAATGTTTTTTCCTTCTTCTCTGTTTCTATAAATCACTTTCAGAGAAATTAATTCAAAGGGGATAAATGTTATTTTTGCTTCAAATGGTATTGACCTTGATTCCATTACCTGCAGGCCCCATATTTTCTTGCAGTGCTTAGACAAAGATAGAAAATTTGTTAAGTTACTCATGTCGTTACTCTCATGGTGTGCCTGAGTAAGGAAATAAAGGTGAAAGCTATCTGCATCCAGTCAATTCTCCTCTTGCTAATTCACGACATCCTGCTGCCTTTGTATTCTCTGTGTGTGGCATAGCACATGCAGACAGACTTTCATCCCTCCATCTAAGCTTCCTAAATGGTTAGAGAATTCTTAAGTAATGCTCCACTTCTGGGCTTGTATTCCAAGTTTTGTATCAAATGGATAGCTATAACATAAAGGATATTTTACATATTCGGTGCAGAAAGCAGAAAGGCCTGGTCTTAATTTAAATCTTGAACTAAACTCTATTTCCCTTCCTGAAAGTTAAAGTCAACATATTGCTTCTTACTGTTCTTTTCTGTCGTTTAGCCCATTCCACGTTTCCCATGTACAGCCCATCCAACTGAGCAATAATATATCCTGCATTTCTCCAGAAGGGGTCGTCCTTGTTATTTTTTATTTGTTGCCTGGTCCACTGATCCTGTTTTCTGCATAGGAACAAATCTGAGTTTAGAATTTTTTTTTTATCAGATCATCTCAGAATTATAGTTAAGGTTTGTTCTATTCTATGACTCAATGGGACTTTCTTATGAGTAAATATATTTAGGATTATGTTTTCTTCAAGTCATTAAAGAATGAAGTCACTTGACAAAGGGCAAACCACAGTAACACATGTTCTTTTGTTGAAAAGTAACTAGATCAGGTCACCTTTCAACTTGCTGCTCTGGTAATTTCAAACATCACACATACATTGCCTCTGCTAAATATAATGACCCTAAACTGCTGGAGGCCCTGTCAACTCTGCATCAAAAACAAAAAGCAAAAAACCAAGTCTTGTGGCATTTTAGAATAATAGAATTGTGTCATAATCTTTCCTTGTATCACATGCTTTACCATCAATTCTTGCACAGAGTCATGCTAATTCTCTTTGTATCGCTCCTCATTTAGTTATATGTTGCTGGAGCAAGTAGAATTAGTTTAGTAAAACATACAGATAGCACTTAAAGCCTTATTATGACACTTGCTTAACTGCTACTTATGAATAGGTACATTTCTGACAATAGAATACATACTGCATAAAATGTTTAACTTTTTGTTCAATGATGACATTCTTAATCAGCTGAGGATACAGATTTGCAACATGGTCACACATACGTCTGAAAGAAATATAGGGCAAATATTATTTTAGTCCACTTGTCTTGCCTTGTCAATATGAACACAATTTGATAAATTTTATGTCTTAACTGATATCTTTAGTACAGCAACAGTTGTGACATTCCAATTTAAAGAATAAGAGAGATTGCACATCATTTCCTTCTGAATGTGAAATAACATTAACTAGGTTTCCCACCCTACTCACAGCAACCCTAGTTAAAATTGTGTATTTCAAGTTATTTCTTATAATATTTTGCTAAATCAGCCTGGACTCTTCTCTCATTTGATGCTGTAAGCAGGACACTAATTTTGCCCAATAACCTTGGTTTGCCTTCACAGAGCTATAGGCAAAAGAACAAACCATGGAGATAAAAAATTGAAGTATGAATTTAGAGAATAAAAATAATCTGGAAAGAACTCCACATGGCTTTTTATAGCTGTCGGACCTAATGTTTACTTATATCCTCCCAGACTTTTTCTTTTTTAAAAAGGGACATTTACTTTATTGGATGGATGCCATATGAAAAGGAAAACATGTACAGTTCTATGCACATTTATTCAAAGCAAACCCGTTGTCTTCCAAAGGACTTACTCCCAAGTAAATATGTGTAGTCTTGCAGACTGAAAGTAGTTATTTATTGTCAATAAAACAGTTACTATTCTCTTTCAAACATAAGTGTGCAACTTAATTAAATTAAATATAGATAGTATAACTTTTTCCTTTGTGTTTAATACATTTTCCCTTCTGGCATGTTAAAAATTACTGGTGTACTTTGTAAGGGATCCAATTTGGGGGCCAGCATGCAGCCCTGAGGTCTCAGACTGTGCATCACTGCCTTAAAAGTTAGGTATCTGAAATAACAGACTGGGGTATTGTGGGAGTTGAAATCCACACATCTTAAAGTTGCCATGGTTGGGAAAGAGTCTAATAGCCAGTAGTACAGATTCTAGGTTACAATTACATTTCAGTGGGAGACTGTCACATTGCTAAGTTACTTTTTAATTATTGTAATTTAAATAGTATTTTCTTGCATTACAATATCAGTGGAGATGTATTCTCTCCTTTAGTATTAACCTCTCACAGAAAAAGAAGCAAGCTCTGAACATAATGTCACATCCAACCTGGACTTTAGCAGCAAGCGATGCCAACACTATATTGTGACATTCTGACTTTTTAAAAATGCTCTGAAAGTACTGTGATCCTTCACTGTACCATTTCATTGAAAGAGCACTAATCTAATCTAAAGAAGAGCAAAAGGTACAAAGGCATCAGCGTACAAGCAGTCTATTTCTTTGCTTTGGAAGAGAGAGAAAGAGAAGCTCAGAACTTTGTAACATGGAGGTGCTTTCGATATCGTCTAAGGCTACCACACCTCCAACAGAAACCTTTTAGCAACTTAAATAGTTAAGTTTTTCTGATCATCAGTGTTTTCCTTAAATTATCACAAAACTTGTGCTAACCTAAAATAGTGTTCTCCAACATGGTGCCCTTCAAGTTTTGGACCACAAATTGCCATCCTGTAAATCTAGAATGACCCAAGGTTAGGGAAGTTTAGCCAAGATCTACCGCCATCACTGGCTTTAATGCCTTGTTAAATTACAAAGACTACCCCCTAATTCACATGAGGGAGGAGGAGAAGCACGATCAGACTTGCAAGATTCTGTTACTGTAGCCAATTTTAATAAAAGTAGCTTTAGGCTTCCGTGGAGTCTGTTTCTTGGTCTGGTGTATCTCGTGGGGCTGACATTTGTCTATCATTCTGGGAGATGAATCCTTCCTTAATGTGTACTGTAAAAGTACATATTAAAAGTAACTAAGCTGCTTCTTTCACATGTACAGTCCCCCATCCTATTTCCTATTTATATCTAAATTGTTTATAATTAATATGGTTTCTCTATCATTTTTCTCCAAGGCAAAATAAGAAACCATGACTCAAAATGGATTTATGTCTCTGCTTTGGAGGCATGTTTGGTCAGTTTGGATATTTTGGAACTTGTGATTACAACCAGCCAAGTAACAAGGGAGAACGTTTTTTTCAAAAATCCAAAAAGTCCAAAAACATTCAAAAAGTTCAAAGCACATTTTGGACCACCAATTAAGTCATCTCAATTTAGTTTACCAAGCTACTTACGAAGCAGTGAGATAACCTTCCAAGAAACCTGCAGCATACATGAGTATTTCATTGCTTATGGACTGGTTACCATAGCCTGCTTTGATCTCAAGAATCCCCCATCCAGTAGACTGTACAGAGTCATTGTAATAGCCATAAGCATCGCCATTCTTGTCTAACACATCCTTAACGTGGAAAGACTTTTCAGCTTCCAACCAATATACAGTAGCACAGTGGAGATCTGTAAGGATATAAAGGAGAACATTGGAAAATCAAAATATGGTAATACCAATGGAAATAGTAGGCAGTATAAAAAATCTAATGCCTAGAATATGAATACATTTATCAAGAGGGAAGATGGGTGGAAGAGATACTTTTCTCAGACATTGTTTCTAGTTAATAAACATCTAAGTTTCTGTCCGTGGAAGATTCCAGTCTTTTGTCTTGAACTTGGCAGCTTGACAGGGGATGGTTGCATTCTAATTTAATCTTAAAATCTAGTTCAACAAAGCAACGACACCTAGGTCAAAAATTCAAGGGGAGGTATATGGAAATATGTCCTTGTTGAAAGTAATGCAGAAATGAGAGTCATGGGAGGAGACAATGGCATTTATATTTGTAACTGACACCTCCCAAAATATACAGTTGCAACTAATTATTTTCAATAGTCCAGCTACCATGTTGCAATTGCTCTTCATCCTTAAACTACTGGATGAATCAGCATATATTCTGCAACCTGTGACTGTACAGATATGAATTAATCACAGTATATTCCTGTTGCTTTATGCAAATACCAGAGTCACAAGGACCTAAATAAAGCCTCATTAATTCATATTTTAAAAGTTTGGTTTGGCATAGGCTTTATTTATTGTGTGGCTTTTCAATCTATGATTGCGAGATTATAAACATTAATTTGTTAAATTGATGTTATTTATTAATTACAACAGAGCTAATAATTAGTAACTACTGTTATAAACATGGCTCACTATATTGCGCTAAGGCAACTCCTGAAGTTCCCTCTATGAAAAGACCAACAAACGTAAGCATAGATCCCAGAAATACAAATAAAACTTTTGCAATGGCAGTTCTAGAAATGTTTACATGGCAATAAACCTCAGTAGGATTTAGTTCTGAGAAAACCCCAATTTTGCTCTTTTTTTATTTATAATTCCACATTATGTGAATTCATTTAAAAAACATTTTCAGCATTGCTTTATATGCATTATTACCCTTCCACTATTTTCCTCTGTATCCCGCCTCATTTGGTGAATCACCCCTATGCTTAGTGGTGCATTATTAAGAAATTTAACTAATGTGTATGTGATGCTTATTAATTCTTTCAGATTAGACTGCTATGGTTCTTTCACACCTTGAAGTATGGCTATGCAATTTATAGCCAACCTTTGATACTAAAGCAACAGTGCCAGGTGCTTTCCCTTCCATGGGGACATGAAATAATGCTTCATGTTCATAAAGATCAAATTTGGCCCCAAGAGGATTTACTTTCACCAATCCATGTTTTTTAAACACTTTCTGTATTTGAACTTCAGTCATGGCAAGACCTTCATAAAGATTTTTCAAATGTGGGTTTTCATGCTATAGTTCTTCTTTGGGAACAGACTCAGTTGCTTTTTCCAGAACATCAGCAACTTCCAGTATGTCCTTGCAGAAACTCTGAATTCCATATAACTGCTTTTTCTACCAATTTCTAAGTTCTCTGCCACAGATTTTCTGCATCTGCCCGGGCATGTTTATATTTAACAGTTAGTTCCTTTAACTGCTCTTCCAGTTTGGTCTGGAATTACCTCTGTTAATACCTTTGCATCAGAGCAAGAATCAGTTTTTTGTTCATTGTGGCTCTGGTTTTGTTCTTCTCCCAAATGTGGTCCAGTGCTTTTCTCCTGCAAAGCAGTTGAGAAGGCTGCTGCAAAGCCCCTGAGAAGAGAAAAGCCGCTCGTCCCACTAGCTGCCATGCACCGTGCACTGCCATGTCGCCACCTGACTCAACTTTGCTCTTGAGTTTAATACAAAATGACCAATTTTAGAAAAAAATGTAAATATTGTGAAAAATCATGCATATCAGCTTTTTATTTAAATATTACAATTAGTTAATAAGATAGCAAAAAACATTCTATTCAGAGAATGGCCAAGAAAGACAAATAAGAATGTTCTTAAGCAAGATGCCTATACAATATTGTCTATCTTGCCTGTTGTTCATTTTGCACATTTGCCAAAGAGCACAGCCAATGCACTTTCCACATCCCAGCCAGGCCTGACCAATCCTCTTTAAGAACAAACTTCTAACTGCATCATCACCTTCTAGCAGCTTAAAAATACTGGCTGCACATTCCAGCAGTTGTGCTCTATCTTTGTATGCCTTTTTAAAAAAAGTTTTGAATGGGGCATTCTTTTGAAAAGTTTTTCATTTCAAATGCAAAATGTCTGAATGCATGTACGCACTACATTGTCTTCTGCATCTCGTCTCATCTCGTGTCAGAAATGCAGGAACTAGAAAAGGGAAAATTATTTATCTAAATTTTAAAAAATTGAAAACTTTAATATAGTAGAGTCTTCTGCATTATCTGCTATCAGTTTTGCCTTCTGCATGAATCCCATGAATTAAAAGATATCAGATCTCAATATATTTGGTTCCCTAGGAACGCAACCTAATGGGGGCTTTGCTTCAAAGCTAAGATCAACAAAAGTTTGAGCAATGCCATCATCCTGCAAAAGACAACTGAAAGAACACAACAGGTCATATTTTGATATGTTGGAGAAAACACTTTTTTAAAAAGGTGTGCTCATGTTCCAAGCTTCTCCCATTAAACTTCTATTGCCACTTATGGGTGGAGCAAGAAAATGGGGAAGAACAGAATGCACTGTGCTTTCTATCTCAAGATTAATCTAACCAGTTTTGAAGAACCCTAACAAATTAATCCATTATAATTAGTATATTATCCTTTATAATTAATGTAGTCTAAAAAATGTTGAATTTTACCTTGGGACAATTCTCACAGCAGGCAACTGGCAATTTAAAAGCAATGTAATAAATTTCACAGTGTATAGATTTTAAAAATCATTCCCACTGATCTCATAACAACAAAAAGATTAGAGTATCTAGCACATTTTTATTTTCTTCATCATGGTCAATTGCTTGGGCAAATCTGACAAAGACCTGCAACAATTGGTCTAGAAAAAAGCCAAATTATCATGCAGAAGATGCACAATATCATGGAAATTCAAAGCCAGGAAGGTCCATATGTTTAGCACCTCTTGATTGCTGAATGAAGGAGTGAAAAAAACCTTCCTTGAGCTTCTTTAAATGCCAGAAGAATTATTTTTGTGGATTATAGCTGCAGCCAGGGAGGAGATAAGAGAGAAAGCTTCATCTTTCTCATTTCATTAGGGCTGTTTCCAAAAAATCTACCAGGTGCACAAAATTAGGCAAACTCCTTCAAAGAAGTTCTGTAAGTTTCAACTCCTCCCTAAGCCTGTCAAGTACTTTTGCTTTGGTCCAAATCAACATTTTTCTTTGCCCCACTGGCCTTTGTCCCCAGTAAGACTACCCCCCACCCCAAAATGCAATCCCCATGTTGAAATACATTTCCCTTGTCAAAATTAGTAGCTATTTCAATTAGTATTTCAGTCAAAAGCCTAATATAACTGAATGAATGAACAACTAGGAAAAACAACAAAAAATAAAGCTTAGGATATATAATATTTCTTTAAGACTTTTTTTTTATTCTTCCTTTATTATTTTTATAAATAACTCAAGGTGACAAACATACCTAATAATCTTTCTTCCTCCTATTTTCCCCACAACAACAACAACCCTGTGAGGGGAGTTGGGCTGAGAGAGATTGACTGGCCCAAAGTCACCCAGTGGCTTTCATGGCGGGACTAGAACTCATAGTCTCCTGGTACTTTAACTACTAGACCAAACTGGCTCTAATATTGTAATGCAGTGAATACATTCAGTTAGTTTAAAAAAATAAATATTAAAACATATATGTAGTCCTAGAAGAAAATGTATTTCCGTTAATGTGGTAAAAAAGAAATGCTTTTGCTGCAGATTGCATAATTACATGCAAGTTACACAAGCACCTCAATCTAGCAAAATGTTAATTCATAGTCTATGCTTTTTGTGAAAGCCAAATTGTTTACCTGAACATTTTCAAACTATTACTCTCAGTTTTAAAAATATAAAGTATGTTATATACTTCTTTTTAAAAATTCATTTTATGAGGGTTTTGTCTCTCCAACTTCAAAAAGCAAGTTTACCACAATAGTAAAATGCTTATAATAAGCTAAACAATAGATACTTGAATTTTAGTTAAATATTTAATATTAAAATTAAACATAGCTATATATATATATATA